AAATGGCTGCCAATAACAAGAGGATGTGGGGAAAGGGAAAGGTAAAAATGCACCATAAAATGGAAAAGATAATGTCAACATAATGACAATTTACATTTGTATAGTGGCATGATACAAGGCATTTTGGAGTACCTTGTTTGAAAGTCCCAAATACAATGTATCTTTAAAACAGAAAGAGAGAGGACAGATTTTTTTCCTATCTGTAGACTCGAGGGTGGGGGTGAGAAAAAATGAAGGTGTGTCAAAAGAAAAAGACAGGAGAGCAATCTGGAGGCGGATAGACTGTGGAAATGTTGAGTAGCTAAGTGATGCCTTCTTAAGGGAAATGCTCTGGAACCTTGATGTTAATGCCAACAGGAATAACATTCAAACATTTTCCAGTGATTCAAACGCCAGAGATGAATGAGTTCGGACTCAGACCTTGCAAAGGCACCAACAGGGTTAATTAACATGAGCTACAGCATGAAAGAGATGTCTCTTTTAAAAAAAATGAAAACTGTGGCTTGACTTGCAATAACATCATTAAGTGAGCCAAAGATGAAGGCTGTTTTCATATTCTATAGTGATGGAATGGTTGTCAGGAGCATAGCTGTAGTGTTCTCAGGATTTAAATGTGATGGGATTGCAGAGGTAGGTAAGAATAATACAGCTCTTTTGTGTTTGTTTGTTTGTTTGTGTTGTTTTTTTTTGGGGGGGGGGTGTTTTGATTTTACTTTGGAATTGGGCCAACATGCCCTGGCCTAAGATTTAAACAGACCGGCAGTAATCCATAGCGGTGCCTTTTATTGCCTAGTGCAGTGATGGCGAACCTTTTGAGCTCGGCGTGTCAGCATTTTGAAAAACCCTAACTTAACTCTGGTGCCATGTCACATATAGAAATTTTTTGATATTTGCAACCATAGTAAAACAAAGACTTATATTTTTGATATTTATTTTATATATTTAAATGCCATTTAACAAAGAAAAATCAACCAAAAAAATGAGTTCGCGTGTCACCTCCGACACGCGTGTCATAGGTTCGCCATCACTGGCTAGTGCAGTGGATCTTAACCTGGCTGCACACTCGAACCACCAAGGAAGCTTTCAAAACCCCAGTGCCTGGGACCAGTGGCTGGGCTGGAAGCTTCCGGTGCTTCCCAGGGGCAGCCCAGGCTGAGAACCACTGCCCTGCAGTATCAAGGAACATGCACACAGCCTTCCAATTCATCCCAGAGCTGGCAAGGGTTGAAGCTTTTGAAATTGAAATCCCCCAGTCGCTGTGAAGAGAATTCTGAAGAATTCCTAACAATATAACATATTAGCAGTTATAACACTAAGCTTATACCCAGGAAGCATAAGGAAATGAAGGAGAGATATGATCGCTCATTGTCAAGGTAAAATCTCCAATTCATGTGTAGTTGAGAATGGAAGTGTGTCAGACACCAGGTGCTTGCATATTTTAAGGAAAGGTATAAGGCCACTGTGAAAAGATGAGAATTAAACTTGAAGGACTGAAAAGGGACCCATATTAAGAATGGAAATATTATTAGATAGCTAATACTTTTGACTATCTAATATTTAATAATATTTTTAGGGAGAGGGGAAACAAATGATAAAAATTGGCTAAAAAACAAACCAGAGTGAAGGGAAACAAAAAGAAGATGGTCAAAAGGGGATGTTAATGTCTTCCGTTACGGCAATGTGATAAATCCAGTCAGACATGTAAACACTATTTTTTTATTGCTTAAAAAAACATTTTAAATATGTTGGGGGAAAAAGAGTAATAAGTATGAGAATATTTTAGAAACAAGACTTATGTACACCAACAGTATACTTAAATACAAGGGCATTTTAGACATAGCCAGGTTCTCTTTAATTCAGTTATCATTTAGAGAGTAACATATAATAAAAGATGCTGAAAAGTGAGGGTCCTTCGTTCATCTTCTGAATCAGGGGACTCCCCTGTGAGCCAGTCTCTCCCCAGAAGTCCACTACAGAGCCCCCTTTTGCCCTTTTTTTCCTCTTAATTTCATCTTTTGCTTGTTGGCAACTACTATAGCAATTCCATAATGCCCTCTGGATAACCTGCTTTCAGGCATATTCATACTAATAGATGTTATGTTCACTCAGAGAAAATACAATGATATGTAAGAAATATAATATTTAGAAGCTAAATATCAGACTAAGTGAATCAGTATATTTTAAAACATTCTAATGAGACATAACTGGCTGTATTATTTGCATTGGTGTGCTGCACACATGTAAATACTAGAGGCCCAATGCACGAAATTCATGCAAGAGTAGGCCTTCCTTTGTCCAGCTGCCGGCACCGGCTTCCCTCTGGCACCCAGGACCCGGTCTTCCCTTGCAGCCCTGGCTTCATCTGGAAGGTCATCCGGAAGGATGTCCAGAAGGACATCTGGTCTAATTAGCATATTACACTTTTATTATTATAGATGTGTATGGATTGGGATGGATCTCTTTAGCGAGATGTGATTGGTTCTCATTTATCCACATAGGTATTAACTGCTTTAAGTGTCTTTCATCCCAAACTTATCTCTCCCTATCTCTTAGGGCATCCTGAGTCTCCCTACATAAGATTCTGAATTTTCTATTGACTCCTCCTGTCTCCGGTCAGAGTTTATTCCCTTCTCAGCAACTTCTGTACTTGGTAACCTTTAGTGCAGTTAAGGTGTTTGTCCACATTGCATCAGAGTCTCTAACATTATTTGCTGAACCTCAGGGGGAGTTTGTTGAGGAGGAAGTCACTGGGTAAAGACCAATAATGCCAGTTAACGCTCAGACTGACCTCCCCGAGAAGGTCTAGCAGTGACAGAGCAGGAATGATATATCTCTTCCCAGAAGCTTTGTCCTATTTTATGCACAAGGCTCCAGTACGGGCCATAGCCAAGGTGGGTTCATCTGTAGGTCAATAGTTAATTAAGGAAGCTCTGAGGAATACACAGTGGAGGCAAGAGGTAATATTATACAGTTAGATTGGCTGGAAAAAAGACCCAAATCTTATCACAGCATCTCAGGGCATGGCAGTCCTCCAATGGTGTTCTTAAAATTATAGAACTAGTAACTTCTATAGGGATTTTTAAAAAAAAAATACATTTTTATTGACTTTAAAGAGAGAGAGAGAGACATCAATGAGAGAGAAACATCAATCGGCTCCCTCATGCAAGCCCCTACTGGGGATCGAGCCTGCAACCCAGACATGTGCCCTGACCAGGAATCAAACCTGGGACCTCTCCATGCATGGGGGGACGCTCAACCAACTGAGCCACAGCAGCCAGGGCTCTATAAGTTTTAAAGTTGATTTTTTAAATTGTTTCTATGGGTAGCAACTCTCTAAGTATAGTGTGATCTTTGTTATCATTTTTAAGTGCCAACAATGGATAAATTCTGACTTCATAATATTCAGTGGTAAAGAATACAGATATTTTTCCTCAGGTCTTTCAATCCTTTCACTTAAAATGTCAAACTCAGGAAAGGACTTGGGCTGCACAGGTAGGATTAACTTCCAAAATGGGGAGGAAGTACATGATTTTATAGGCATCATTTTGGGATAGAGGCACAGGAAAAGTCCACCCAAGCAGGAAATCCTAAATTCTCTCAGAACTCCTGATCTGATTATTTTAGTTAAGGTTCAGACTCCTGTGTAAGCCCTAGTTGAAGCTTCCTTTGCAGTGGTTCTCAACCTTCCTAATGCCGCGACCCTTTAATACAGTTCCTCATGTTGTGGTGACCCCCAATTTCATTGTTACAAATTGAACATAATTAAAGCATAGTGATTAATCACAAAAACAATATGTAATTATATATGTGTTTTCCGATGGTCTTAGGCGACCCCTGTGAAAGGGTCATTTGACCCCCAAAGGGGTCGCGACCCATAGGTTGAGAACCACTGCGTTATAGAGTCCTGGTTACCATCTCATGTTCTTTGAGCCTCTATGACTGAACTCCCCAAAAACCTGTTTTCATACTGATTTCACGGCATCGCTAGTTGAACCTCCCTAGCAAATAGGTCCCTTTTTCAGCTGATGGCTTTTGCCAGTAGGAAGCCCACAAGCCAATTGTCATAAAAATAATTTTGTGATGGGGGAGGGGAAGTTGCTTTGATAAACATTCCAGTTTTTTTAGGTGTGTTTTTGTTTGTTTGTTTGTTTTGTTAAGTCTTATCTGAGGATATTTTTTCCATTGATTTTTTTTGGGGGGTGGGAGGGAGAATGGAAGGTGGGGGAAGAGACAGAGAGAGAGAAATACCAATGTGAGAGAGACACATTGACTGGTTGTCTCCCGCACAAGGGGGACTGAGGTATGTGCCCTTGACTGGAATCGAACCCTTGACCCTCAGTCCACAGGCCAACGCTCTAACCACTGAGCAAGCCAGCTAGGACCATCCCAGTTATTTATAATGAACAACTCACCACATAAAACTGCCTCAAGGCTGTAACTGATCCAAAACTTTGACAAATATTTCCCCTGTAAGAGGCTTTATGAGAATCACAGATCTGAAGGCTGGAAGGAAGCTAAGCCAACCTCAATCCCCTCGTTATTTTTACATTTGAGAAAACTGAGCACAAAGAGCAAAGGTGCCCTGTCTCAGGTCACACAGTAAGTATGAGTGGTAGGTAGGCCAGGGGATAAAGCCCAGCCAGCCCCCCTGCTTGTTGGCCCTGCAATTCCAACTCTCATTCCTCCCTTTTGTGACAAATGCTATATCTTGGTTATGATTCCATGTGGTTATTAAAAAAAAAATCACTGTTTTCTCCAAATGAAAAGTAATTTGCACTTTTTAAAAAAATATATTTTTATTGATTTCTGATAGGGAGAGAGATAGAAACATCAATGATGCGAGAGAATCACTGATCGGCTGCCCCCTGCATGCCCCACACTGGGGGTTGAGCCTGCATGTGCCCTGACCAGGAATCGAACTATGACTTCCTGGTTCATAGGTTGACACTCAATCACTGAGCAACCCTGGCCGTGCAAAAATAATTTCCATTTACTGAGTGGCTAAGATCTACTTTTCCTCCCCTGCTTAAAAAAATAATCCCATGAAAAAGTATTATTAAACTTATTTTACAAATGAGGAAGGCACTTGTTACAGAATTTAATGCCAAGCCACACCATGGCTGAGCCAGGATTCAAACACAGGTCTTTCTGGTGCTTTTTCTGCTATGCTAAATTGTCTCTCTCTGATTTATTTTCTCAGTACTTACAGTATTGCAGTCTGACGAGACAGTCTTTTAGATATTACAATGGATATCAATATCTCTTTTGTCTTTAAACATCTTTAGAGAAATTATCTATTTAGTTCACTTTATAATGAAGCCTTGGAATTCATTAAGACCTCCCCCAGTTGTAATAAATCCATGTATAGTGAGCTAAAAAGACATCCATATAAAGTGAGGAAAGCAAATTGCAGAGCAATGTCTGTAGTATACATCCTGCATATCAGATATTTACATTACGATTCATAACAGTAGCAAAATTACAGTTATGAAGTAGCAACAAAAATAATTTTATGGTTGGGGGTCACCACAACATAAGGAACTGCATTAGGAAGGTTGAGAACCACTGCTTTACAACAATGTTACTTTTTTTGAAACTAGAAATTATCATTGGAAAGCCATTGTTACTGCTTTGAACTGTTTAAAGTTTTGTCATTCATGTGAAATGGGTGGTTTTTTCTGCTGTCGATGTACCAACAGCAAAGTCCAGCACAGGGTTGCTGCCCAGTAATCGTTAATTCTCCCCTCCCCATGACCAGAAGTGCTGGGAACTAATCTCCATCCCAAAGGAAAGTCATTTGTAGTTTGTGGCATATTATAAAATCATCAGGTTTAACTTTAGACCTTGCATCACAAATTCATCACTCATCCACCACCTTTTTCTATCTTGTGTTTGTTCTCAAGTTGTTGTTTTTTTTCCTTCTCCTGAGTCCTCACCCAATTCCAGGACATTAGTGCATTCTTTCATGTTTTTTTGGTAATAACCTGTTGTTTTTTTCTAGGCACCAATAGATTTTTTTTTCTTTAGGACTCAGTTCTGTTGTTACCAGTTTTCATGTTGTTTTTTAAATTGGAAACTGTAAAGTTTACAGTTTTAGGTTTTACATTTTAAACTGTGTTTATTTTACCTTCGGCCTCTCTTTGCCAATGAGTACATTTGTTCCTCCGTTTTAAAAAGTGTCTTCCTCCAGGTGAACACGACTGAGAAGCCACTGAGAAAGCCACCAGCCAGGCTGAAAAAACTCAAGATCAAAAAGGAAGTAACAGATTTCACAATGAAGGACATAGAGGAGAAGATGCAGGCGGTGGCCGAGCGCAGGAAGGTACCTGAGCTGGGGCGGGGTGGCGCTGCCTGCTGAGATGAGCCTTTCCTTTCAGCAGCGTTTAGACAAATTGTGTGGATTTGTATTATCTTCATTATCTGTATGCTTCTTACGCTGTATGCTTAATTTTTTTTCATGTGTATGGTGAAAGAATAAGGCAATATCTTGAAAATGGTTGAATTAGTTTCATCAATATAGCCTAAACAAGCAATATCCAATTCCCAGAACTAAGTGCGGACTTTTCTTCATATGAAAAAAGAAAAACTTTAGTTGGGGCTAGGGGTGAGGGGACATGTGGGGATGGAAGATGGGAGGTGAGAGGAGGCCTAACAGACCATCACAGACCTCCTGCAGCCCCTGCACAAGTGGTCCTCATATCCCTCCCACAGTCTTCATTGCCATCTCTCTCCTGGGCCTTTCCAACTAGACTAGGAGCTGCATGAGGGTAGGAAGTGTGCCTGTCTTCTTCAAAAGGAATTCCTTAACGTAGGTTTGTTAAATGACTAAATAATGAAATTGGGAAGCCATAAACGTTAACCACAGGCAATATTAATGAAAACATAGAGAACATTATTTGGACTCTTTTTCATTCTTCAATACTGCCTTTCAGACAAAAGAAGAAGAAATGAGAAAGAGACTACGGAGTGACCGACTTCTGCCTTCCGCCAATCATTCAGATTCAGCTGACCCTGGTGGGGCTGAGGTTCCATTTGCCAAAGGACTTAACCCTGTGAGTTCTGCCGTGTTTGAGCCGTGGGACCTGCAGGGAGGAAAGCTGTTCAAAAGAAAGAAGAGCAAAAGTGATGTGACCTCAAATGATAGAGACTACAGTTATGAAGGTATTGGCGTCGTGGAGTCAGACATGTCCTACAACCAAGAAGATCACATATTCTAATGAGCCATTTATGTGAATTCTGTGAAAAAGCACCCATTTCCCCCAGTCATGCCAGGCTTTGTATGTCTTATCTTTTTGTTTGACTGCCTGGCTGCATGGGCTAGTTAGCTGAGTAAATTAAATGGCTAATGGTTATGCTAGCTTCACAAAAAGGAAGATTCGACTACTTTCGATATTAAAAGTTGGCTTCAAACATTGTGAAGATGTCTTTATTAGTACCTCCAGCTTACATTAATGTGTTTGTGCCCAATGAAACCCTTCCTTTTTGCTCCTGCCCCTTGGCTGTGTCCACCCTCTGAGGGTCCTGTAAGACAAATTGCATGGATCTTGTCAACTGATGGCCATTGGCACCAATTTAATTCCAACAGGAATCCCACATTTGGGGTGCAGTGAAGAAGGAAACTTTATTCAGTGCAAAAGGGCTCAACTATGATACAGCACGGCTATGAGAATAGCAGGGCTCTGAGGCAGCTCTACAGCCAGGCCCTCTCCAGCTAGACAGCTCTGCCCTGCTCCTTGCTGGTCTGCTCACTGCTGTGCTGGTCTGCTCCACGGTGCTTTGGTTTGCTCTGGCTAATTCAGTTTCTACCCCGTCTTCAGTCTTTGGTGGAAAGAGAATGAGCACTTTCAGAGCCACAGAGGAGCTGGCTTATAAGGACAGAAGTCTCCGCCCCTAGTCCCTGATTGGTCTATCCTCATGCAAATGAGGACACCATATCCTTGCAGTTTGATTGATCCAAAAGGCACTGTCCTGCTTGGGCAGAATAGGGCCACTCTGGTTGGTCAGAGCTGCACAGCTCCAATTTGTTGGGGAAAGCTTCAGTCCTATCCTATATAATAAAAGGCTAATATGCAAATTGACCAAATGGCGGAATGACCAGTCGCTATGACGCGCATTGACCACCAGGGGGCAGATGCTCAACACAGAGCTGCCCCCTGGTGGCCAGTGCACTCCCACAGGGGGAGCACCACTCAACCAGAAGCCGGACTCACAGCTGGTGAGAGCCTCCAAGGTAGCGCTAAGGACAGTGTGGGGAGTGGGCCTAAGCCAGCAGGCAGACATCCCCTGAGGGATCCCGGACTGTGAGAGAGCACAGGCTGGGCTGAGGGACCCCTTCCCGCCCCCAGTGCATGAATGTTGTGCACTGGGCCTCTGTTGGTTGAAATAAGATCACAGGAACTTTTTTTATAAGGGCTGGCACTGATAGCAGAAACACAGTGCAAGCAGGCAGTTCAGTGTAGAGGCAGGTAGTTCAGTGCAAACTTCTCCCTGAAGTGCAGTTTGTGTGAGAAGTCCTTGTATAGAAATGGCTGCTAGACTCTTTTTAAAAATTTGATCCCATTAGCCACCAGAAGCCCTTCTTAATAGGTGTCTTCTTTCTCAGGGTTCACAATCTATATTATGTATTTTAATGATCTGTATACTTCATATACCTGGCCAGTGCCTTACTTCCCTGCAGGCATTCCAGGCTGAAGAACTTGGGGGCCCTCATCCTATTGTAATTATACCTTGATTCTTCCCTCTCTCTTATCACCCACATCCAATCAATTGTCAGGTCTATGGGTCTACATTCTAAGGCTCTCTTGCATCCATTTTCATAGTTTTCCCCCTGCCACTACCTAGTTAGACCACCCTATTATCATTCAGCTAGATTACTTCAACAGTTTCCTTGATCTTTATACAACAGTCCTCTGTTTATAACCCTTTTTGGCTCCTTTCATTGTCAAGAAAAAGTCCAGACTTCTTTTTGTGACTGGTAATGATCTCAGCTTTCATAATTCAACCATACTAAACTGCCAATTCCTCAAATTCATCACGCTACCTCTAGCCTCTGGGTCTTTGCACATGTGGTTCCCTCTTTCCCCTCTTCCCAACTCACTATTTTAGTTGACCAATGCCTTCTTGTTGTTTATGTCTCCACTCAGACCACTCAGACCACTTCCTCCAACCCCACTGTCAGGGTCAGTGCCCCTCTCTCGTAGTTTCCTTTTAGCGCCCTGGACTGCTCATCTCTACACTTACCCCCCTGGTGGAATCTCCTGATACATTTTCATCCTCACTACTAGATATTTCAGGTCTATCAGGGCAGGAGGTGAGTCTGTCTTGTTTATGGCTGCATTTTGTGTGGCTCAGAAAGTGAATGACACATCACAAGTGCTATATAAATATTTCTTTGGTGGATGAATCAATGTACCCATACATCTTCCAGAAGCAGGAGGACAGCCCCAGGAGATGGCTTGTTTTTCTGGGAACAAGTGGCTGGGTGAGGGGGGAGAGTGGCGATTTGATTTGAGGACCTCTTAGCACCTCCTGTTTATACATTCCCTTTGGGTTGTTGCAAACAGATACCTTGGGCTTCTAGAGTCCGTAGGACTTAGGGCTCCTGCAGCCAGTGAGGTATGATGGAGGTGGTGGAGGGGGCTTCTTTCAAAACTCATTTTAGAACCAAAGCCTTTACTTTTTTAAATTAAATTCATTGGGGTGACTGGTTAATAAACTCATATAGGTTTCAAATGTGCATTTCTATGATACATGATCTGTATATTGTATTGTGTGCCTACCACCCAAAGTAAAATCATCTTCCATTACCATATATTTAAACTCCTGTACCCTTTACTACCTTCCACCCCCTTCCCTCTGGTAACCACCATACTATTGTGTGTGTCTATGAGTTTTTGTTTATTTTTCTTGTTTGTTCATTTGTTGCTTTCAGTTTTATATCCCACATATGAGCAAAATCATATGGTTCTTAGTGTTTTCTGTCTGACTTATTTCTCAAGGTCCATACATGTTGTCTCAAAGGCAGTATTTTATCTTTTCTTATGGTTGAATAGTATCCCATTGCATATATCTACCACATCTTCTTTATCCAATCATCTATTGAAAGAAATTTCAGTTTATTTCCATGTTTTGGCCACCATGATAATACTGCAATGTATATAAGGGTGCATATGTCTTTGCAAATAAATATTTTCTAATTTTTCAGGTATATATCCTGAAGAGGGGTTGCTGGGAAATATAGTAACTCTATTCTTAATTTTTTGAGGTATCTCCATATTGTTTTCCATAGTGGCTCTACCAGTTTTCACTCCCATCAGCAGCGAATGAGGGTTCCTTTTTCTCCACAATCTCTCCAACACCTTTTATTACTTGTCTTGTTGATAATAGCCATTCTAACAGGTGTTAGGTGGTATCTCATTATAGTTTTGATTTGCATTTCCCTAATGGCTAGTGAAGTTGAGCATCTTTTCATATGTCTGTTTCCGATTTGTATGTCTTCTTGGGAGAAGTGTCTGTTCAAGTCATCTGCGCATTTTATAATTGGGTTGTTTGTTTGGTGTTGATTTGTATGCGTTCTTTATATATTTACATTTTATAATTGGGTTGTTTGGTGTTGATTTGTATGCGTTCTTTATATATTTTGAATATTAACCCCTTGGCAGAACTATTGTTTGCAAATATCTTCTCCCATTAGGTTGGTTGCCTTTTTGTTTTGTTGGCAGTTTCCTTTGCTATGCAGACAAAGCTTTTTAGTTTGATATAGTCCCATTACAGCATGGTATTGGCAGAAAAACAAACACACAGACCAATGGAACAGAACTGAGAGTCCAGAGTTACTTTTACAGTGTGAGCTGGAAAGTCCTGTGTCTCCATTACCTTATATGTTAATTTGGGATAGCCACCTTCATGGAGTTGTACCAAATCAAATAATGTGTTTAAAAGTACTGTGTAAACTAGACTATGTCATAATATTTATACAATATCATTTATATAAAATCTTATGTGAGCAACATGATGTTTTTCATCTGTCCTGAAGTTTTTCTATAAAGATTACCTTGTGATGATATGTGCCAATCTCATAAAATATTAAGTAGCTAAAATGATTATACTAGGACATAGGGAAAGATTTGGATATCATTTAGATCACTGTAAATAATAAAATTAAATGACCAAAATACATTAAATTCAAACTTATAATAATTGTTGTAAATGAAATTTCTAAAATTGATAAATATCCAAATATTTTTTCTTGAAGTCTTATGCTCTTGCCTGATTGTTTATGGTGGTTTGGATGACATGTTTGTTGAATTAAAATATAGATGTAAGCATTGTCCTCTGGCTTGATAACCTCTATACATGTATAGAATTAAACATACTAAGGAGTAACACTCTAAATGACAACTGTATTTTCTTAGCGAGATTGTCTACTTTAACAGGAGGGGAAGTGAGACAATGAAAATGTAGAACACTTGGATAGTGGGAACTTCTGTAAAGCTCTAAGTATAGTCCAAAACCAGCAGAGGGCTAGGGATAGAGAAACAGAGGCTCAGAGACTAAGCATCCCCACCTTCACAAAACACCAGCGTCAAAGAGAGATGAAGCTTGTCCTAGTCAGCTTGGCTCAGTGGATAGAGTGTCAGCCTGCAGACTGAAGGGTCCCAGGTTAGATTCCGGCCAATGGCACATGCCTGGGTTGCAGGCTCGATCCCCAGAAGCGGGTGAGGCAGCTGATCAATGATTCTTTCTCATCATTGATGCTTCTAACTCTCTCTCCTCCCTTCCTCTCTGAAATCAATAAATGAAATATATTTTTAAAAAAAGAAGCTTGTGTTTGAACCTGTTTTGCCTCCAATGAACTATCAACCACACACAAAAAACAACAACAACAAAAAACTTCAAATGTAAATGTAACTGCCATTATCATCTTTCATCTTTTTTTGAAGGGTGATCTCTATTGATTTCAATGGAAAAGAAAGATTGAGATTTTTAAAAAAATCTTTATTGTTGAATGTATTACATAGTCTCTCTTTTTTCCCCATTAACCTCTTCCAGTCCACTCCCATCCCTTCACCCTTAGGCCCTCATTGACCCATTGTCTGTGTCCACTGGTCATGCATATGTACATACAAGTTAACATAGAGGCTCTAGGATCATCTTAATTTTTTGTTGAAATAACATTGGTTTTCTCATTCTTAAATAAAAAATAAAGTTTTGAACAACCACCTGAGTATTTCAACTAAAATCAAACCACAGCTTTCAGGAAGTTGTGAATCAGGAAGACAAGATTGGGTAAATGTCTCTATAATCATTTTAATTAGGCAACTGAAAAAATGCCTGTATAGATTTCCTCAAGAAAGATGGTCTTGCTGTGTCGAATAGAGGATAATTTGATGTATAGTAAATCCTCCAGTGTTG